AGAGAGCGGGAGGGAGGGGAAAGGAGGGAGAGGGAGGGAGGGAGATAGAAAGGGGAAGGGAGGGAGGAGGGATGGAGGGAGAGAGAGGGGGAGAGAGGGAGAGACAGGAAGGGAGGGAGAGAGAGAGGGAGGGAGGGAGAGAGAGGGAGAGGTGGTAGGAAGGAAGCAGCGAGCTTTTTTCATATGTTTATGCCCCAGAGTGTGAGAAAGGGAAGGGAATCACTCATCCCTTCAGCCTCAGGTCTGGAACGCCTCTCCACTGCGACTATCTTGCTACGCCGACTTTGATGTTACAGTTTAAAGGTAACCAGTCCTCATATTAATAACATGGTCCCTGAATGACAGCTAATGACATCTGGCACTCAGCCAAAGGAACAGCAATCTGTTTTCCAGACCAGGATGGCCACCAAGGTGGGGCTTTTCTACATAATTTTTAAGACTAGTTGGGACTCCACTCAACCATTTTAAGCCCTAATTTTGGAACCTAGTGGTCCAGTGATGTGGCTCCATCGCTGGTGGGCAAACACAGATAAGAGCTCCATGTCTGGAATCAAATAATTTAGGTTCATAGTGTGTCCCCATCATCTACTAGCTGGAGGATCCTGGGAAGGTTTTTGTGCCAGTTCTCTTGTCTTTAAAATATAAGTCATAGTATGTACATACTCCACAAGTATTTTTTAAAGAATTTGCTGAGATAATGGGGCATTTAGCTTAGGGCTTAAATATTCAATAACTGTCAGCTGCTATTCTCCTTCTAAGTGCCATTTCTTTTTCTAAAGCAAAGTCTTGGATAAATTCCTTAAACTTGAAATGCTATTGTAGGTGTTTCAGTTTATAACATTTAACATTATAAATGTCAAATATATTGATCTATGATTAATAACATACAAGTATGCTTTTTCCCCCAAGACATTATAATCCTTGTTTATACATTTTTTTGTTTTGTTTTGTTTATACATTTTTAATGCATCGATTTTGGTGTGCATAGTTGATTTTTCCATCTTTATTATTTTCTTATGTGGCTTTTGAAAGATCCTTCAGGTTGTTCATAACAGTAAGAAAGACCTAACATCATAATGCTACTCAATGTACAAACATGGAAAATGTACTTAATTTAAAAGTATTGTTAACAAAAATTGGAGAAAGTGTTATTAGTGTTACAGAGCCCTTTTCATTATGGATTAAGGTTTCTGGGGGAAATAACCTTTAGTTTCTTGTTGATAAATGAACCAGTTTTGCCCATACAGAGTCGCTCCACTCATTCCTAGGTATCTGGTACACAATCGACTCAGCAGCTGCTATGAAAACACATACCTATGAGCCTTCGTTGGGGCGGAAGCTGGACAGCTGTCTGATCTGCAAATCTGCACAGAATCATGTGTTCCTAAAAGAAAAAGCAGTGCAAGGTGGGTTTATTTTAACCTTTTGCTTCAAACTTAAAAATATTTCTTTAAAAACTACCTCATTTTTCTGGAGTTCAACATTGTTTAATTGAACAAAGCACTGTACAAATAGTACTTTGGAAATAAGCACATTTTCAGAAAACGGTGCTCAGTAACTTTTCCCCTTCCAGTAGACGGCTCTTCAGATGTAGTTCTTAGGAACAGATGCACCAAAGATCCTCAGGGCCACTTAACAGTTGCTTTAAGCAGAAACACAGTGACAACTGGTCATTATAACATTAAACTAAAAGGCCTAAAATTCATTTACATTTTTCCTTTCATGAAATCTGAATCTCAGAAACGTGGCTCCAAGAAGACATTCTAAGCGGCTTTTCTTCCTACTGCCAGAGGGAAAGGGAGTGCTGCGGAGGGTCACCGTCCGCGGCCTCTGTAGCGCTCTGGATACCCACGGAGCGCTGGCTATGCCTTCTCTCCCCGGCCCTTCCCTTGGCTCAGCCCCTTCAGGGGAGAGGAGGCGGCCTCGCTCACTCCCCTCTCCCTCCGAAAGGCTGCAGGAGGTGCATCTATTTCTGCTTTAAGAGGAACTGTAAAGTGGGCCTGAGGCATGGGAGGGAAATTATTGCTTCTGCTTAACAATTTTAGGAAAGATTGTATTAGTGACAAAAAAAGAAGGCGGCTTTAAAGGGATGAGAGCTGAGGAGTCTGCACAGCACTCTTAAATCTGCAAGTACCCAAGGTGTGTGGTTGTTACAGTCAAGGCACTGCAGCGCTCCCATGACAGCTGTTCATTCAGAACAGCTGCGGTTGCTAAGTGTGTAAATGACCTCACCTGTCAGCTTAGCCAACAGGTGGGACTCAGCTTCATCGTTTGCCTCCTTGGTCTCCTGTACGTTCAATCTGCAGCCTCCATTTTTAAATAAGGGAATTGAAATGAGGGTGCAATGCTGGTTCTTTTTTAAAGGGTTAACTTTTTCTCACTTTAATGCATTAAAAAAACCACTGTAATGCTCACTATAAAATTTAGTGGCAATGTGTAGGGTATTAATAAAATGGTTCAAATAAATAACTTTTATTAAGCTCCCATAAATTGGTATCAAGAAGGGGCAGAAGAATTTAGAATCATATAATGTGGAGGAAGCGCAAGAAAAAGCATGCCCTCCCTTTGTCCTCATGGTGTTTGCAAATTAAGATTCCTTTAAATATAGGTAACACTGAGGCAAAACCAACCTCAGATGAGGTTTGTTTCTCTTGTCCTGATAAGTCCTATGCACACACAGATCATTAGAACTATCTGTGTACGTGTTTTCCCCTGTAGAAGTTAAATTCTAAAAGGGGGAGGTACATAGTAGGTACTCAGGAAAGGTTTGGCTCGGTAATTGAACATGGAGGAAAACATTTCCAAAGTGACTCTCAAGATATTTGGGCACTAAGTCCATGTATTTCTGTCTGCCAGCCTGCTCATCACTGTTAAGTTAGGAAATACTGAGATCCCATCTTGCTGCAGTTTTCAAAAAGACTTCTCTATGGAGCATTTATATCCGAGACCCTCAAAAAGGCTGGTGGCCAAGCAGCTCTGGGGGGTGTGGAAGAATGTGGATAAAGATGAACTGGATACCGGTGTGCACTGCTCTCTGGAAGAGCCTGGGTGCCCTGTCTCTTTTGACTCTAGAAATTTTTCTTTCTCTTCCAGACAGTGAGACTGTGGCACCAGACTTCCATACCCTAGCTGAGGTGTTTTCCATAAATTCTCTCAAAGTTTGCTTTACCTAGCATCACTCGAGGAGGCATAAAAATCAAGGGTCTAGTTTTTGTCTATTTTTCAATTCATTTGAGAGAGAAAGGTGAGGTGTTTTGAATCTTATGAAAATAAAGTTCTGGGATCCTAATGTTTCCCCCAAAGCCTTAAAGTTCCTTAGAATATGAAAACTTAAATCCAGTAGGCAAAGATGAGAAAAGTTCTGGTTCTAAATAAAATCATGAACATGAAGTTTCTCTCTTCTCCATGGGTTCTGTCTGTACATGGATGTACATAGATGGGTGGAGGTGGGGGGTTGAAGAGAGGGGAGGGTAGGAGACAGAGTTGGGGCTGGGCATTTAAGAGGCAGAGGTGAAGGATATAGTTGCCAAGGGGGTAGGATGAACATTTTTAGATCATTGTACCTCACTATTTCATGGCTGGAAAGAGAAGAAGGTAAAATTCCTAGAAGGTAGGGCTGGTATATAAAATGATACTATATATTTTTAGCGAGTCTGTGCAAGAAGTTGAATTAATCAAACTAAAAATCCAATCTAATTTATCAATTTTAATGGGATTATTTATGCATTTCTCTCAAATAGGGTCATTTCTTATATTACTTTTTGCCATATTATTGATCATTTAATTAGTTAATAGTGATGTTCAGAAAGCTGAAACCTGGGGCTTCTGGTCAAGATGGCAGTGTAGGTAAATGGGGTACTCACATCCTCCAATAACCATATAAAAATTACAACTAAACTACAGAAATCCATCATTCAGAACCACCTGAATTCTAGCTGAATGAAAGTCCTACAACCAAAGGCATAAATAAGAAGCCACATTTAGACTGGTGGGAGGGACTGAGACTGAAAATGAGTTGGTCCCACACCTACGTGTGGTGGATAAAAATTGAGAGGCAGGCACCATATCAGAGTCTCCATCAACCCGGCTATCACTGTTTGCCCCGCCCTGGCGAATCCCTGAGACCTCACACAACCAACTTGTGCACCCACCCAAGCTGTTTTCAGTGGCTTTTCCATATGAATGGCCTTTCTTGAGTTATGCTTTAGACTTTTCTAAAATCTCTCAAAATATCAGCACCTGGCCTCTATGTGCCCCATACCTCTTGCTAAGTATCCCCAGGCCAGCACTAGGAACAGATGACCTTGGTTTGCAGTGTGGCCCCTTCTGGGCACCTCCAAGCCCAGCACAAGTAGCAGCCATCTGCAGATCGCTTTGTAGCTCTTGCCAGGTGACTCCAGAAAGAACACAGGTAGTGGCTGACCTTGGTCTGCACCTCCTGGGAGGCCCAGAGCCAGTGCACTGGTGGACAGCTTCAGACCATACTGAAGCACCACCCAACCACCTCCATAAGTGACACACTCAAGAGACAGACTCAGCAGGCACCAGAGCCCCCCTGAAGTCAGTCCTGCTCTGTGGGGGTCAGCCCTTATGCAGCTGATGCTCCATGGTGGTCAAAGTCATTCCTTGTAGCCATTAGGCCTGGGGATAAATTCCTCCCATTGATGTGCCAACAGCAATCAAGACTCAACAACAGGAGTATGTACGCAGCCCATGGGGGGGGAGGGGTACACCTGTAGTGCCCAGCTCGGGTAAGTGCAGAGGCTGTGCCACTGGACCCTACATGACACCTACTACATTAGACCTCTCTACCATGCCCGGGAGACGTAGCAGCCCTACCTAATACATAGAAACAAATACGGGGAGGCTGCCAAAATGGGAGACAAGGAAACATGTCCCAAATGAAAGAACAGAACAAAACTCCAGAAAAAAGAACTAAATAGAATGGAGAAAAGCCATCTACTAGAGGCAAAGTCCAAAACACGGATTATAAGGAGGCTCAGTGAACTTAGGGGAAGAAACTTAGAGATAAATTCAATAGCATAAAAAGGACATGAAAACCATAACAAAGAACCAGTCAGAAAGGAAGAATACGCTAACTGAAATGAAGAATAATTTACAGGGAATCAACAGTAGAGTAGATGAAGCTGAGAACCAAAACAGCAATTTGGAATATAAGGAAGCAAAAAACACCCAATCAGAACAGCAAAGTGAAAAAAGAATCCAAAAAAATGAGGATAGTGTAAGGACGCTCTGGGACAACTTAAAGCATACCAACATTTCCATCATGGGTGTGCCAGAAGGAGAAGAGAGAGGATTTAATTGAAAATCTATTAAAAAAATGACAGGAAACTTCCCTAACTTGGTGAAAGAAAGACACACAAGTCCAGGAGGCACAGAGGGTCCCAAACAAGATGATCGGAAAGAGGCCCACACCAAGACACATCATAATTAAAATGCAAAAAGTTGAAGACAAAGAGAGAGTCTTAAAAGCAGCAAGAGGAAAGCAGTTAGTTACCTACCAGGGAGCTCCCATAAGACTGATTTCTTAACAGAAACATTGCTGGCCAGAAGGGATTGGCAAGAAATATTAAAAGTGAAGAAAAGAGGACCTACAATCAAGATTACTCTACCCAGCAAAGCTATCATATAGAATCGAAGGACATATAAAGAGCTTCCCTCCCAGGCAAGGAAAAGCTAAAGGAGTTCATCACCACCAAACCAGCATTACATGAAATGTTAAAGGGTCTTCTTAAAGGAGGAGAAGGAGAGAAAGAAAAACTATGAACAATAAAATGGCAATAAATACATATCTATCAAAAATTGAATCTAAAAAAATAAACAAGAACAGAAACAGACTCATAGATACAGAGAACATTTTGATGGTTGACAGAGAGGATGGGTTGGGTGGGAGATTGGGTGACAAAGGTGAAGGGATTTAGAAGTACAAATTGGTAGCAACAGAATAGTCATGGGATGTAAAGTATACCATGCGGAATATAGCCAATAACATCCTAAAGACTACTTATGGTGTCAGATGGGTATGTTATATAATATCTAATCAAGGAGTCGTACATCTGAAACATAATATTGTAAGTCAACTGCACGTGAAAAATTAAAAAATGATTAAAAAAAAAAGAAAGCTGGAAACTGTCTTGCTCAGGTTGGCAACTCAAAACTGTATAATGTGCTGACTACCATAGGGAGACAATTCTTTGTGGGTATCTTGTGTTTCTTCATGTCTGTGAGCAGAGGCACTGCCTTTGTTCCAGATCAGGGGTGGGAAACTATGGCCCCCAGGCCAAATCCAGCCTACAACCTGATTTTGTATGGCTCAAAAGTTAAGATTGTTTTTTATATTTTTAAAGGGTTGTAAACCTAAACAAAGACAAGGACAATGTAGAATATGTGGGAGATTTGCAAGTGGCTGGCCAAACCTAAAGTATTTATTATCTTACATTTTACGGGAAATTTTGCCTCTCTTCCAGATAATCCTCTCAGAGATGTTTGTATAGGAAGCAGCCTTGGAAACTACATAGTATCCCCCTCTGGAGCAAAGGGCAGGCATGTTTACTTAAAGATTAAATCTTAAAACATTTGGGTTTCCTGAGTTCAGGTTTCCTTTCCTGTAACGCAACTCACTGTACGTAGGTGTCACCTGGCTCTTTTTGCGCTGCCCTGTAGGAACTGAGCCTCAGAAAGTCCGTGCAAAAATGATAGTCTGGCTACTCCTGTTACTGTGTTTGTCTCTGATACAGCAGTCTCCTGTTTTCTATCAGCATCCATGAGACTGTCGCAGGCTAACCAGTTGGCTTGCAAGTAGGGTAAACGCTCAGACCCTTTACAAAATCTTGTCAACTACTTAAAGATTAATCTTGATTTCAAAAAGAAAATCCATATTAGATGTTCATGAGTAATTCAAATATAAGTATAGATTAAATACTCTATTAGAAACCTGAGGAAAAAAATATAAAAAAGAGATAAAAAGTCTATTAGGAATACATTTAGATTTTTAAAGGTTACCTTGTATGATAAAGTTTTCTTAAATTGTTCACTGAAATAGAAAAGAAAAAGGAATTAGTCATCATTTTAAATACCAAACATTAAGAACAGAAATAGTCTTGAAGGAACTAAGTTATAAATAAAATTATGTATTTTATCTGAAGAGTATGTAATGCTATCCTGAACTAAAACTAAGTTTGAAATGTCTTTATAGAAAGACAAAAGCATGCCATCAGTATGTTATTAATTTAAAAACTTTCCTTTCACCCAACCAGCTTGGCTCAGTGGTTGAGTGTTGACCCATGAACCAGGAGGTCATGGTTTGATTCCCCGTCAGGGCACATGCCCGCGTTGTGGGCTTGATCCCCAGGAGGGTGTGTGCAAGAGGCAGCTGAAAAATGATTCTCTCATCACTGATGTTTCTATCACTCCCTCCCTCTCCCTTCCTCTCTCTCTGAAATCAACTAATTTTTTTTTTTTCTTTCAAAGATTGTTTACACTATTAGAGAGGCACAATCATTTTTTTTCCTCTTCCCGCATGAGTGCACACAGGTTCAATCTGTTTTTAAATGTATGTTTTATTGTTATTCAGGCGTGGAGGGCCCAACAGATCAGGAGGGGATTGCCATTAAAAAGATAGTTTGTTCCTAACAGACCCAAAAGAAGGGGACATGTCATGATGCAGGGCCACATGGGGAGGCACCAGATGGTCAAGAGGCAGAGAGAATGAGCCTTTATTGCAGATTCCCTGGGAAGGCACGGCCAGGTAGGGTGCCCAAGCTTAGGATCAGCTAGTACTAGTACGAATAATGTGAGCAGTCTCTGGGGTGTAAGGGCTGCCCCTAGTTGTCTGGTGCCTGGCCCTGGGTGATTAGGGCAAGAGGATAGTGACCCTGGAGTGGTTCTCCAGTGGCAAAGGAGGCAAATGTCAGTAAACCTACAGAGATGTGAAAAAGTTGGCAGATATGAAATTGAGACTTTAAAATCAGTTAAGTGAGACTGCAGGCTGAACAACTGAAATTAACATTCTTACGAATCTTTCTAGTGCTAGACTTAAATTTCTTGGGGGGTTATAAAATATGTATTTTATCTAAATAGATTTAGAATAAAATGAAGTTTCAGCTATCGAATAAGCCTCGTTATATTTTATTTTTGGCTTGTCCATAGTTCCTTTGGTTTTTCTCTCAACTCGTTGCAAATTGTAGTAAAGAGCAAAACAATGAAAGACAAAGAATAAGACTATTAGTTACTTTTAACTTTAAATTACTTAGATAAAAACGTTTACGTATAAATACCAATGAAAAATAAATTATAAAGTTTCTTAGAAGTAATGATGCAAATGATCAAGAAGTCTTTTTTGACACATTACAGAAAAGACTTTCCAAAACTAACATATTTAATCTGCTCTATAGTTAAAAGGATCAGCATGATTCTCAATAACCACGGTTCAGAGAGTGAAAAGCCATAAACACCAAGAGAGTGGCCCTCCAATAGGCTGAGTTAAAGACATGAGAATTAAAATGTCACCCCCTTCTATGTGGGATAAGAAGGACTGTAAAAACGGCTGTCGAACTTGCAAACTAATCATCACCACCCATGGGAAGTATTTAAAAATAGTGATGCTACCACCGTAACTAGCAACAGCTTACATTTATTGAGTGCTTAACTCTACGCCGCTTCTAAGGGCTTTATATACATATTATTCAATTCCCACAAAGACCTTGAGGCAATTTACTATTATAACCCCCATTCTGTAGACAAGAAAATGTAGGCAAAAAGAGTTTAAGTAAATTGCTTAAGGTAAAACAACTTATAAAGGAACGAAGAGCCAATATTTGCACCCGGGAGAGATACTTCCAGGTCCTAAGTACTTAACCACTAAACCTCCTGCCTCTCATGGGGAATAATTTCCATTCAGAAGTACACAGAGAAGTGCTGTAGCTGTTAGAATTCTGGTCATTGGACTCCTAGACAGACTTGCTTCTAAATTTGTTTTTTCTGTTGTTGTTAATTCTCACCCGAGGTTATTTTTTCCATTGATTTTTTTTTTTTTTTTTTAAGAGAGAATGGAAGGGAGATGGGGAAAGAAAGAGAAAAAGAGAGAAATATCAATGTGAGAGAGACACTTTGCACTCGCCACCCCGGCTAGGGCCGGGGATTGAGCCTGCAACCGAGGTGCCCTGAACTGGAATCAAACCCAGGACCCTTCAGTTGCAGGCCGATGCTCTAACCACTGAGGAAAACCGGCTAGGATGACTTGCTTCTAAATTTCAGCAAGAGCTGGATCCAGGAGAAAAATCAAGGGCAGACATAGGGGAGATCCTCTCTTCCTGATACAACTTACAAACAGTACTTGCTCAAATCTCATTGCAACTTTCTACCCAAAGAGTTTTGTGCATTGGTTTAATCCCCACTTCGGTGCCTCAGGCAGAACACTGACTTTCACCTTTTTGGAAAATTAAACTTGGAGGTATTCTGAATGAAACCGTAACAGCAAGGGCACGTGACGAAGGAAGCTCGCGTTTTGATGCAGAGCTCAATCACCATGTCGGTGGCCACTCCACAAGCGTGCAACGCCACCTGGAAAACAAAACCAGACCTCGGCGCTGAGTGCTTTCTTAACGGTGCTTTTTGTGCCTTTTGAAAAGACACTTTTTGTAAGGAGTTGATCCTCAAGACATTTCAAGTTACCAGAATATTATTCCATAACAGTTCTCATTTGGACACACCAGAGAGCTAGCTAGCTATTCACAGTAATTAAGAAAATTAAGCAAGGTTGAAAGATTATGAATGGAATACTGCAAATGAAGCATAAGATTCATTCAGTAGAAAATATGATGCGATGGAAAATATAATATGGGTGCATGTCTAAACCAGTGCTCTTGCCTTCATGACTTTAGTTCAGTTGTAGCATTGTGGTGAGAACACTAGATTGAAATCAGAACTTCTTTGAGTCTAGAACTCTAGTTCAGACAATTTACTTTTATACATCTCTTTACTTATGTTCACATTTCCATTGCTATGTGCAAAAGAGTGAGATTATTTCCCTCATATAAACAAAACAACTAAATCTAAGAACTACTTACATGATGGATTTTAGGTCTAAAAGGTTTTATTGCATCACATGCTCCTAATTTCCACTGTCATCAAATACTGGTGAGAAATAACAGGCAAATAATGAAGAGATTGATTAATGAAACCATGTGGATATGGAAACTGAGCATACAGCAAAGGTGGCACTTCCCCCCACCAGGGAGAAGATGGACTTTTTAAAGAAGAGATGTTGGGTAAACCTGATAGCTATAAAAAATAAAATTAGGTCCTTTCCTCTCACCACACATAATAAATTTCAAACAAATTAAAGGTTTAAAACAAAGTAAAAAAAGACATGAATGAATTCCTCCATAACTTAGGGGAGTGGGAAATACTTTCCTAACTATGTCTGACAATCCACTTGCAATAAAGGGGAAAGTTAATGAATCTGACAAAGTTAAAATTTAAAATAAAACACACCCTTTTAAATGGCAAAAACCCTCAAAACCATATGTAAAAAGCCAAACAACAACATGAGAAAAAGATTTGCAATTTATAGCATAAACAAAGGGTTAATATCCCTAATGTGTAGCAAGCTTCTGAAAATAGATTTGGACAGTTCACAAACAAAAATATACAAATAGTCCTTAAACCAAAATCATTTAATACTGCTCAAAATAAGAGAAATTAGTATTTAAACTACTATAAGATACTACTTATCACCTATTAAAATAACAAAATTACTAAAAATTGATGCCAATCTATGGGTCAGGCTGTGGGGAAACAAAAATGTCACAGCCCTATGGAAGAGGAATTTAGCAATATTCAGCAAAATTACACATGTCATTTGCGATCTCACTTCCAAAAATTTGTTCAAGGGACACATTGGCAAAAATATAAAAAATATTTATTCATTGAGGCAACATTTGAAATAACAACAAAATAGAAACTAGCCAATTTTCCACAGATAGAGGACTGATAAATAAACACAATGAAGTATTCTGTAGCTCTAAAAAGAAATGAGAAATATCTCTATACATGGCTGTGGAAGATAGAATTAAATGAAAAAAATGTTAAAAAAATTCTCAAACTATTTTCAGTAATCAAAGTGTTTTTTTAGAACTCTAATGTGTATATTGTGAGACAAAATAAGAAATATGCTGATGTCATTAGGAAAGATATTTTTTTATCATAAAGAGAAAGAAGAGATATACAATATATAAGTGAGGCTAAGTTCAAATCCCATCATCCTGAATTTAAACTGGAACTATCAGTGTGAACCCATGATGATTTAAAAAAAAAAAAAATGTTGCCTAGCTCAGACCACTGAGAAGCCCAGAAACAAAGGTAAAACCAGTAGCAATGATCATTTCTAGCACCTAGACTGTGGTAATCTAAATATCAGTTTCCTTTCAAAAAATTTAGAGTTCCATTGACAACTAGCTGATGAGGTAGGAAACAGACAAGATGAGCTGGAACAGCATGTCACACTGAAAGCACAGATGCTCTCAATACTACTGACACCTTATCAAAAAGACTCAGGGGCCAACTCTGAGGCTCCCTCTATATAAAGAGGGGAATATTTGAGCATTGATGACAATAATAACTGCAGTGGATTGAAGTATTTCAAATATTAAATTGATGAGTCCATAATCATACTGAAAAAAACTAACTGGTTACTTTTGGTAGATAACCAACTCACTCTGAAAACTGGAAAATACTAGAAACCAAACAAGTTTTATCTGGCATTTTCTATGTGATCTACATCTCAGTGTAACCAAACAGTTGATAAAGAAAAGTAAATGAAGGCAGAATGATAAAATTACAAGAATAGCGTCATTTCATAATTCTTACTGAAACAATAGAGCTGGGGGCAGGGATCATGAGTGCCGCTGATGTCACACAAGAGACAGCCAGATGTAAGTGCCTGCAGAAGGAACACACCACCACCCAGGATGTCCCCTTACCCAAAAGTGAACCTGATCTGATTATGCCGCTATAATCAAGATCTAACTACCAATTTCTAGACCATACAGGGAACAAGTTAACATGTGAAACAAAACCAGGGGGGTATGATCAGCAAAATCCACACTGCACAAAATCCTAATGGAGAAATGGCATGGTTATGTTAGCAAATAAACTGGAAGGGGAAAAGAAAAGACAGACATGATGTGATAGGCAGAGTGATCGCTCTAAGGTGTCCGCATCCTAATATCTAGAACCTGTCAGTATGTGCTGATCACACACAGAGGACGTGAAAAAGGAAAAAAATGACAAAGATAAATACATTATTTTCTTAAAACATTCTTATCCGCAGTATTGTATGAAATCTAATTTCTAATTACATTTCAAGCATCTGATCCAGAGAGTTTGTAATATAATAAACACAGGAGAGGTAGATTTATTAATATGAGACACACCAGATAGATTCGACAACTGCAGAAAGAGCCTCAAAACATCAACTCTGAGTATCTAATGACAGCTAACGTGCCGGGGAAGATACGTTCAATCAATGTTTAGCTGACATCATAGCAAACAAGTATTTCACTGACTGACTCAAAGAATTCAGAATTGTGGTCTCAAATAATGAATTTCTTAACATCTACCCCTTCCTCTGTATACACACCAAATTCTAACAAAATATGAAAACTGAAGTTATAAACTCATCAATTGGCCAAGGTCGTGCATATTCCAAAGTAAATGCAAATACTTTCTACCCAGATATATGCTGCAGGATTCATGGGCTATAAATTAAGGGCCTTTCTCCTACATTTTCTTACTTCAATCAGTCTGTACATCATAAAAGTTCTAAGTACAATACTTACCCTATCATGTTAGTTAGCAAAGTAAAATTGATCAGCCAAGAAACTTCATTCCACACCTTTGTTATATGTGGTAGTAAATAAATGAAATTAATCATCACTTGTTCTCATAATGTCTTTCAACTGGCAGCCTCTAGACAGGGCAAGACTCTATATAAACTGATACATCTTTTCATTCCTAGGGAATGGAAGCAATATATGCTGATTATTCTCTAAGAGAATATATTAATAAACATATTCTAAGGGAATATATGTTGATAAAGAGTATATGCTAATTTTTAATATAAGACACATTTTTAGATATAATAAGCCTATGCTTTATTCATACCCACAACACTAGGCTCGTGTTAGACGTATTTATGACTCTAATATTTTTTGAGATTCATTTACCATTTATTACCCTTTTCTCAGCCCAAAGCACGCACATAGGTGTCATTATTCTGCATTTCACAAAATGTCAAAGTGGCTGGTCCAAGGTCACAAGTGATGAAGCCAAGATTTAAACTTAATCTGTCTGACACCAAGCTTTATTCTAGTTCTTTAGGTTCCCATTTCCTCCTTTTTTTAGACAGGAGGAGTAAACAGAAAGTCACTGACGGGACTGTAGAGCCAGCTCTCACAGTAACCAATGTTCCTCCTACCCTCCCGGAGCCTCGATTCCCTGTCTGTAAAATGAGAAGGCTGAACTGAGTGAGCCCTAAATGTGCCCAGCCCGATCATGCTCCGAGCCTTGGCTTCTCAGGGAAGGATTCTTAACCGGCTATTGTAGATGAAAGCAGGCTTGGCTCAACCGTACACTCATGGTCCCCCTTTAAAAACTTTCATGTAATTACATTACAGGTAATTGGCTTTAAAACTCAAATAATGCTAAAAGGCTTGTACAAAAAGAGTCTCTTGCTCTGTACACACTCTGCTTGTCCCTAAAGAAAATCTGGGGACCAAAGCTAATGCTTTTCAACTCACTAGTCTTATTTCCTGAAACTGTATGTTTTTCTAGATCATAAATGTATATTGCTCTCTCTCGATTTGTAAATATCAAACATTATCCACTGATTTTCTGTTATGGGAGATGAGGATTCTTTTTTGCACATTTACACAATCTTTCCCTTTTTCTCATTTTCTTACTGTTACCAACTCCAATTTTTAGTTGTGTTTATGCAGTGTTTTTATTATGATTGCTCCGTATATGATGTTTACTGCTGAGCTGAGAGTACTGTACATTTTTTTTAACATCTAAGACTTTCCCTACCACTTCTTGTATTAGACACCGCTTATTCCTTTCCTTATTTACCCTCATTTTGGTGAGGGGAATCTTCCAGTAGTTTCCTGATGTACATTTTCTATTACCTTCATACACGATGGATGGATTGATTAGGCATAGAATTTCAGACCGGCTGTTTTCCTTTAGAATTTTAAAGCCTTTGCCTCGCATCTCCACGTTGCTGTTGAGAAGTGTGATGACATTCTGATTGCAAGCTTTTTGCATTTGGCCTTTTCTTCCCCTCTCTGGAAACTATTAGGAACTACTTTTCACCCTTGGTGTTCTGAAATTTCACAGCAGTGTGCCCTGGTTCAGGTCATTTTTCAAGTGAGCTTTTCAATCAAAAGAAACACTTTATTTTTGACACATTTTCTTCTAGTAGTTCTTTGATATTTTCCTTCCCACCATTTTAGCTGTTGTTTCTTTCTGGCCCTCCTATTAATGAAGCACTGGACTTTGTGGAC